ACTAATAATAATAAATATAAGATATAAAATACAATAAAAAATATATATAACTACTAATGCTATTTATAATATACTATACTAAAATCTACTTTGTAACATTATATAAAATTTTGATATTTCATATAAACTAGTCTTATAAACAATTATTATTATTCTGCTTAAAATTAATAAACTTATTATAAACAAATATGTATAAAAACTATATTGTATAAATTTTACTAGCTAAAAAATAATAACAAGAATTTAAACCACCCTACTTCAAATTTTTACTTTAATCAAATTAAAGTAACAAAAAAAACTTTAACTATAATAACATATTTATTCTTATTTATATGAACTATCTGACTAACTACATTCCAATTCTAATATATATCTGTCTATCTATTAATTATATTATCTGTAAAATTAATACCTAAACTATTTTTTAGATCAAATATAATATTTCTTATAATTATATTCTAAACTTACAAATCTAGATAAGTCTTAATCACTTTAATAGATTTAGGTTACAAATAAATATGTTTGAGCTCTTATTCTTGAATGTAATTTTTCTTTTATTTGTATTTAGAACAATAGTTATATAGTTAGCAGTTTAATGATCTAATCCTGACTGCAAGTGTTGGTTTTAACTATAACATTAATATAGAAAATTACTTTTTGTATATAGCAACTTCATGTAGCTACTAATTTTTAAACTACTAATAAAGATATGAGCAAAGCTTTACCTTAATACCAAAAAAAAAATTAGCTTTAATAATAGCAAAAAAAAAATTATAATAAGATTAAAACTTTATAAAAAAATTTTTAAAAATACTAAAAAAATATTTTTTAGAAACTACAATTGATATTTATTCTAATCTAAAAATTTTTTTAAAAAAAATTTTTTAAAACTTTTTATTATAGAGTAAAAATTTCAATAGTTACTATGTTTTAGTGTTGTTAAATAGACATAATCATTGGTAATTGCCACATCTTTTTATTATGCTATTTATCACATTAGACGATAAATAATATAATAAAAGAATGCAACAATTACCAATGAACAAGCCGTTTAACAACACTGCTATGTTTTATTATAAAAATATCACGTGTTGCATTATTTAGTATACGTAAATAATAAAAACACACCTTTTGGTTAAATTTAGAATCTGCAACCATTATAATCTTGGCCAAAACATCGTTTCTATATAATTTTGGCCAAATCGCAAAATGTTGCGGAATTCAACTGAAAGTACGTATAAATTTATGATAAGAGTTTGTCAATAAACTAAGTTACTACACTCACTCTAAAACATTTTTTTGACTACTAATTAATTATATAAAAAATATAATAACATTAAGTTATGTATACTATATAATAATACGTATTAAATATTGCAGTATTGTGGTTAGAGTTCAAATTGAGAAATAAAACAATATTTAAAACACAAAATTTTAATTAACTAAATTTTTTGAAATATGGCAACTAACTAAATTTTTTGAAATATAGCAACACAATGGTGTTGAACACTACAGATGTGGTTTAGTAAACCGTTAATACAATATTCAACTAGTTATACAAACATATAAACACTTGTAAATATTGGCTAAAAGTAATATTATTAACAAGCTTAAATTCTCCGTTACGTTCAGACCAATAATATCTATTTTAATGATTATTCTAACAATGCTCGTGAAAAAAGTCATTGGTGAATCGAGATTCTAAATTATTAGTGATTCAACAGGAAATTTATTCAATATTAGCAATATTCATTAAATTTGTCCCTCCATAAATTTTTTAAAGCGATATTCAAATTTGAAATTTCGATACAACAGAAAGAGTGAACAGTTCACTCTGTGTCGAATTTTTCACAATTATGGAAAGATTGTAACCTTCGAGGTCACGAGATTGTAACAAATATAGATATACATTGTTACACATCAGTGCCGTTCTTAATTCAACTTTCTTTGACCTTCGGCTTGCACAAAAGCAATTATCATTTCGCTAGGTTAAATTGGTCTTGAACGCTGCGGTATTTATTGTCATTTGAGCTAAATACCAAGCATATCGTAATATACTCAAAGAAGCTTGTTCAGGCGGAAACCCCGCACGTCACAATATTTTTTGCCGCTCTTTTCACTGTTGTAAGCGAGTTTCCCCAAAATGGACGACAACATGATGATCGACTCAGCTACTCCTGCGCAGTCAAGCCTTACGCAAAACTTTCAAGCCATTGTAAACAATAATCAAGTCGTACTGGACTGGAAGTAAGTAGCTTTATAAGAAGCAGGATCTTTAACATCTCAATGTAAGCGTATTAAAAATTATTACTTATTTAATGACCAATTTTACTTGTGTAATCGTTATCGATGATAGATATGAGATGAGACGTCAAATGCAGGAAATTCTACCGGGACTTTATCTCGGCCCATATTCTTGTTCTAAGGAGTATGACTTGCTCAAACAAAATAACATAACACATATTGTATCTATCCGTGATTCTTCAGAGAAGAAGATTTTACGCCCTAGGTTTCTTAATGATTTTCAGTACTTTGAGATTGAGGTGTCAGATTCTCCGAATGAACGATTGATTCCACATTTTCCACAGGCCAAAGCATTCATTGATAATGCTCTACTAAATAATGGCAGAGTTTTTGTCCATTGCAATGGGGGAATTTCCAGAAGTCCCGCCTTTGTGGTTGCATATGTCATGGAAACTACTAAAATGGATTATCAACATGCTTACAGCTTTGTACAAAATAGAAGATTCTGTATGAATCCAAATGAAGGTTTTAAAGTACAATTAAAGGTAAAAAAAGTTTTTTCTAATGGTCTCATTTATTTATATTTAATATTTAATTTAGACTCTATGTACATATTTATAGTTTATTTTGTTAATTCCATTAATTTATATGGGTAATAAATTTATAGGAATACGAGCCAATTTATTCAGCAAGGGATACTATTAACGGTCATCAATACACTCAAGGTGAATTAGAAAGACAGGCTTTACGAAGATCTGCTCCGGATGATGATGATCCGTAAGTTTTACACATTTATTTTATTACGCATTTAATTCGTAAATCTGTGGCATTTATCTGCACTCTTTTAACATTGGTAGAAATGAGTTCGAACTTGCTAGGCGTGCACCTGCCTTCCATGAAGAACCACAAGTGCAGAGGTGAAATTTATGTGACAAGTATCAGGACTGCCAGTAAAGTTGTTCGATTTTTTCTTTCACTTATGGTTTACTCTGGAAAGTCAAATTAGTTGTTATAAACGATTATTAGACATTAATATATATTTGTCGTTGAAAAATTACGGAGTATCTATTTACAAAGTTTTTGTTTGCTGTTTGTTTTCTTCTTTCTTTCACTATCGAAATACTGCCCGGCTACATTCGTGATCATTTATTTCCTATCATTTATATTCTCTATCTTTTCAGGAAACTTATCTACAGAGTTTCTATATACATCAAAAGATCGTTGTTGTTGTGTACCTACTTTTATATATAGCACATCAGACAACATGTAATATACAGTGTTTTAAAATTGTCAATTGTTATATATCAGGTGGTGGTTTAATATATATCAAGTAGTTAATGTTTGTTAATGCATTATCAGAAACATATTTATAGTATGTGCTGATTATTATAATATTTTATCAATTTTCACGTTATTAAACATCGTTGTTTGGATAATACAATTTTTTATTAATTTGTCATACAATTTTAATATAAATTGGAACTTTGAAGACCAAGTAGATCCTAACTATAATGATAATACTATATATTGAATTTAACATTTGCATTTTGCAAAATTAGGTATATAATATAACAAGCCAAGTTAATTAGATTATTAATATAGTTAATATTACAAATTATAATAAACAGATCATGCAAAAAATATTATAGTTTTTAAATAAAATATAATAGAAAATTGACATTTTCACATCTGTTAATAAATCAATATAACTATTGAGTTTTTGGTTGGGTTTAGAGTTAGCAGAAGTATGGCAATATTAAAAAAAGGTGTAGACATAGTAATTCTCTATATAATATTTCAAAATTATATTAATTTTTTTAAATTTTTAAAAAATTCTAATTACTGTTTTAAAAAATTTAATATATATAGTATTTTCTAAAATTTTTTAAAATTATATTATAACAAAAGTAACCAAAATTTTTTTGTTATATGTATAATATGTTTTTTTAGCATTTTTGTTTTTATTTTATTTTAACTTAATATTTCTTTAGTTTTAGTAACTTAATATAATAAATACTGTTTTTTTATTTATATAATATTAGAATAGAACTTTTGCAAATATATAAAAAAAAATTTCTATACTAAAAATTTTGAATTATATTTTGTTACTTAGTTAAAAATATTACTTTTTTAAAAATATCCAATATGATATTACATTTTTTATTTTTTAATAAATGTTATAGTTAATTATTTTAAATTAATTTTTAATTAAAATAGATTGAAGAAGACTTAAAGTTTTTGTCTTATTATTATATAAAGCAAAAAGTTAATAAAAATTCTTAAAAAAATTATTTTTTAATAATAAAAAAATTGTTAATAATTAAAGTGTAATTAAATTAGTATTAGATAATAAAGTTATAATAGATCAAATAAATTAGTATTATGTATAGTTTTGTAAGAATTAGATTTTATTAAAAAATCAAGATAAGAGATTATTAAACAAGATAACAAAAAGGATATAACAACTTAGTAAAGTAGATAAATTGTTAATTTTTAAGTAGTAATTGTAAGTTTAAAATCTACTAATAATGAAAATTTGAATAATTATCTATGTATTATAGCAATGGCATTTCATTAATCAGTTAAAATAAAATATTTGTAACTATAATCATATCAATATAACTAACAGGTTATAAAGCATTTATGTAACTTTGATTATACAAAGAGATACAAATTAGTATCAGATAGTGCAAACTTAAAATAAGTTCTTGTAACTGTATAAATCTGTAAAACTAAAAAAAGCCAACATATACTTAGAAAGATCTACTAAAAGAAGTAACATAAATCTTTAATAATACTACTATAAAAGTTAGATTCAAAAAAAAATACCAATGTAAAAAAATCAAACAGACAAGAACCACTAAATAAAACTTATAATCAATTAAACTATTAAAATTTAAATTAAAAAAATAAAATATTAAATCAAACTCAATATATTAACAACAAGTTATAGTTCTATTAGACTATCTAAATTAGAAGTCTAAGATCAAAGCAAAGATATATTAAAGTACTAGAGATATACTATAAAGTAAGTATTAGAGTCTAAATAAACTCTGCAAGAGCATAGTTTTATTAATAATTCATAGAATAGGTAGATTAGTTAATAGTAAGACACTCTAAGCTTTATAGTTAAATAACATGCTTTGAAGCAGATAATAGCTTAATAGTTATATGATAAAAAAAAGCTAAATGTCAGATTAGATGGCACTTAAATGTACAGAAGTATATATGAGAATAAAATTATTTTAGAAAATAAAACTCAAAATTAAATTTGAAAACAAAATTGGTTTGATTTACTTTTACTTAAAAAACAAAATTTTTTGATATTTTTTTTTAAATAATATAAGTTGACAAGAAGTCAACTATTCAAAAAACTAGATACTATACTATTATTTTCTATCATGTAACTGATATAACCCAATTAAATTATAATCTAATATCAGATTGCAACAAATTATACATATTACTTATAAGAAATTTTCTTATCATGTAATAATCTTCTAATTTGTATAACAGTAATATTTATCATATTTTATTAATTTTTTAATTTTGATCATTATTTCTTAATATCCAAATAACCAAAATTAATAAACTTTTTTTTGTTTTAATTATATAAATTTAAGAAATTTAATAAAAAAAAGTTTATCAACTTTGGTCAAATAAGTGCTAATATATCTTTAATCAAAGGTTTAAAAAAATTTTTATTATTTAATAATAAGTGTTTAAAATTTTATAAAACTTTAATCAAAGATATATTGACACTTATCTGACCAAAGTTGATAAACTTTTTTTTATTTTATTTATTATTATTAAATAAATTAAAAAAAAAAGATTTATTAATTTTAGTCAAATGAATGCTAATATTTCTTTAATTAAAGTTTTATGAAATTTTAAATCTTTATTATTAAATAACTAAAAGTTTTTTAAAATTTTAATTAAAAAAGAGATGGGGTTTTATAATCTAGTAGTCTAGGTGCCTCTTTCTTCACAGACAAGATCAATGGTTCAATTTCAGCTAGAGGCAAAACTCTGTAATCTATAGAAATATATGAATATATGTGAAGCTCTGTGGCTAAGTTCATGTGATTAGAAGATCAATATATAAGAAAGTTCTTATAAAGAAGTTTTCTAATATAAAGAGTTGGCACTCAATGTGAGAGAAACAGTAAACATACTAGAAATAAAAAGAAGATGCACTAGCAGATAATATGATAAACATAAAAGAAAAATATAAAAAAGAAATGAATTTACTGAAATTCAAATATTTTTAGCATTAAACTGATTCTAGTAAATATAAGATCTACTAAAAATTGAATAAATCTAAGAGGTAATCTTGGTACTATACTTGTAAGTTTGCATTGAGGGTAAATTCAAAGGACTATAGATACTTAGTAACATCCAATAAGATAGTACTTAGATATAAATAATAATTAGATAGCTCTAACCTGTTTTCTCAGAATAATAGTAATATATATATAATAAATGTTAAAAATTAAAAAGTTTAAATAAAGAATTCACAGACAGGTCTCGGGTATGGCATCTAGTAGGTAACCTATAGGTGAAGCTCTTAATTAGATAATAACTAAAATTATACATGTAACTAGTTGTATTTTTATTAATATACCTTGTATATAATATGTAATCTTATATTACTAATAATAAAAAAAATTCATAGGCAAGATTGCTCTTGAAACTAAAAAAAAAATTTAATCAAAGATATATTAGCATCTATTTGACCAAAGTTGATAAACTTTTTTTATTTATTTACTAAAATTAGAAAAATATAAAAAAAATTTATTAAATTTAGTAACATGAATGCTAATATATCTAATAAAAGTTTTATAAAATTTTAATATATCTATTATTATTAAATAACTAAAAATCGTCCTGATATTGAAGATAGCAAATGTATAGAGGAAGTAACCTGTTC